AAATAAATAATATTATATAAAGTTATATATATATATCTGTGTGTGTGTGTGTGTGTTTTTATGTTTGTGTGTGTTTGTGTGTGTATGTGTGTGTGTAAAAAAGACCAAACATGGAATGAAATGAATACACATAGTCTCAATAAATGTATCTTGAAATGCATTGATGTATACATGATGTATACCCACATACATACATACAGACATGCTTACATACAAACACACATAAATAAACCCATATATACAAACATACATGTGTGCAAACATACGATTGTAGAATGTACAGTGCACACAGATTCTACAAACAAACAGGCACTTCGTGTATTTGATTAACTTTCACGTCCTTGCTTATGTATTGTAACTCTGTTTTTTCCAATTCGTGCATGTGCATTTGACGTTTTTGATTCTTTTCTTTCAAATAGTTTCCAGTCAATACGCACGTTGGCATTGTGTAAGGAACATTTATGACGCACGCATAATTTGGTTAGTTTTTTTTTAATTTTTTCTTTTTCAAAATTTTTTTCGTCGATTTTGCGTTTGTTGCTTCTAAAGAAAATCAAAAAAAGAAGAAGAAAATGTTTTCATGCATTGCTAAATAGATTTTGACCGGTCATATTTATGCATCCGTGACGTCACGTTACGTAAAAACAAACGATTTATAATCTTTTGTTCGTAATGACGTCATTTCCCGCCAAAAATGTCGAAAAAGTGTCCTTATCGATCAATTGACGTTTCAGTCTTCCAGTTTTCTTATTTCGAAAGAAAGCATCTGCATGATTTTTCTTTCTCTTCAGAGTTCTTCTTCGATTTTTCACACTGTTCTCATACGGAGATGCTTTCATTCATTCTATCGACGCTGTCAATGTTTCCGATGTTTCCATTGTCTCTAATGCTTCCATTCCATGCCATCAACTAATTTGATAGTTTGTTGTTATCATATAAAATGTTTATAAAAAATAATTTTTAGAACGAGATAATAAAAAAATTAGCGATATTTTATAAAACCACTGCAAGAAATCAAAAATTAATGTTCAAGTGAAATTTGTTCAGCAGGCACATGTTCGTGTTCACCAAACACATGTTCATGTTCACCAAACACATGTTCACCAAACACATGTTCATGTTCACCAAACACGTCTTCGCGTTCGGTCTTCTTCTTGTCGATCGGAATGCACGTGGACGAAGGCAAGATTCAGCGATTGTTTGGCGGAAAATAATGCTTTGAAAACGTGCCTTCATAATGCAGTAACAAAACTTCCGAGACATTCAAAGGAATTTAAACACGTGGTTCTATAAATATATAAACGCTCAAGAATGTTGAGAAAACTTGTGTGAACGGAAATCATAAACAGAAATAACATGAATTAACTTGGGTTAATACTGGTCTTACAAGAAGTAATACAACATATCCAAAAAATTTTACATTTCCAAAATATTTTACAACGTTTCCAAAGTATTTTACAACATTTACAATTAAACATGTTTCATTTGTCTTATTAGAAATATAACAAATTGTGTTGGTAATAAATGCATTTTCCTCATCCAAACCGTTCTCTACGCAACGCTTTATCCAAGAAATCTTTCATGTGGTTGTAAGAGTCCCGGCAGTCATCAGGTGTGATTTCCTGGCAACATTCCAAAACACTGGTCACAAGCTCCGACTTGTTTGCACAGTTTTGTGCATTGACTGCATCTTTCAATTTAGAGGAAACTTCCACAATCGCATTTAAGTGCAGTCTACATGGGGTTAAGAAAAATAGCATTTTATTTTTTGAATATAATATTTTTCGTATTTCGTGAAAAGAACAATTGTCCATAATCAACACCGCATTTTCTAAAAAATTTTGTGTTAACGGCACTTCTAGACACAAAAAAGTAGTATAACCCGTCTCTTGGCGTTGCAGCGGAAATGGAAATATTTTTTGGCCGCACACAAGGAATAGTTTTGCAAAGTGTTACACCAAGTGGTGCTCGGCCAAGTTTTCGTCGCATGTCCTTGGTCGTACTTGTTACGAATGCGCCAGCGATTTGAATCGTTAAACTGCTTTTTCTTAATTTTTTTTTATTTTTCATGGTTTCAACTGTCGACAATTATAAGCGAAACGTGTCGAACGAACAGTAAACACACATCGAAATATACCAACTTTGGCAGCCACTTGAAGGCATACTGAACAGCATACGGAGATAGGACGACAAACGATATTGTGTTCGATGTTTATAACATGCACCAAGCCAACAGTCACGCTCATCTTGACAACAAATCTTGAAACAACAACAATAACAATAACAACAATGACAATAACATAAACAACGACAATGGCAACAACAATAACGTCAGCATAAACAACAAAATGAAATTTTTGTCCACCCGTTTGAAGACAACTTGTTACATGCTTGTTTATGTTCAGTCTTGTTGGCGTGATTGTTTTGGCTACTGCCTGTCTATATTTATGTTGGTGACTATGTTGCTCAGTTTTGTTTGCGTCACTGTTGCGTTACTATGATGTTGCAATGTTTTCATGGCAGTTTTTATAAACACTGTTCTCTTTGCTGTTCTCGTTGCTTTTTTCATAATGAATGTATTTATGCATTTAAGTTGGCTTACATCTTTGTGTGTTCTGTTTTAAATTTTTTATAGATGAAATCATTGTCAGTATAATTGAACTAAACCAAACTCAAATTAACGTACTACAGATTAAAAATAAATTAGAGTAACTAAACATAACAACAACAATTGAACATTCCAAAAAACTCACTACCAAAAATAAAATGGAATAACCAAACATTAAACTAACATATCCCACTTTAACCAAGGATCCTTCTCAACAATGTTCGCCCACGAGTTCCCTCAAGGAACAGGTAACAACATCCCGTCATAACGTTCCGGATTTTTTTTTCAATTCCTTAAAATCCTTCCTGTACAATAATTTTCCAATTATTTTTTTGAATTTTTTCTTACCTACAACCAATTTTACACCTGATTTACATACTCCCATTTATTGATTTTATAATTAATGTGATGTTGCTTTTAGTACTGTATGCATAAAATGGCTGTAATGACGAGTGTACTAATGATAATTATGATGACTTTTGTGATTGTTTGACTTAATTTTAAGTTTAAATCACCCAAAAATATTTTTATTCCGTCAATTTGTTTAGTTTGATTGAGAAACCGTTTTTTTAATCAATGCTACACTGCTATTAATTTGAATATAAAATATGAAAAAATGAGAATAAAACATCGGATATATTCATGATAATGTGGTGATTGTGTAATCGTTTGCTATTCTAAATATGAGATATTTATTTATTTATCACAACTGACCAGAGGGCCACAACGGACCACTTACCCAATCAGGAAGAAAAATATGAGATTTATATGATAATTATGATCTAACCACTGTTAGATCATCAGCAGTATCTGACGGCGTGATATCAAATGTTCAAATGTGAACCTAGATGGCTGAAAAGTTTTATGTGATAATAGAATGAATATGTGTGACTGGTTATGTGATGAAGTTTTGGCTAGGAAACAACGGAATGGCGATGTGATTATGCTGCTGTTATAAAATGAAGATTACATTGTTACAAGAATGATTAAATTCAAGCTGTCGAGACGATGATGATCCGACGACGATGATGATCCGACGATACCATAGCGCGATGTTGAGATGATGACGATGATGATGAGGGTGAAGATGATTTTGAGGACGTTGTTGATGACAATTAGTATGGAGGCGTCGTGAGGGTTAATTAGGTGGATGTAAATAAATGAGGACTACTTTCATCATCCTCACCAACATTGTCTTCTATTTCTTCGTCGTCATCATCTTCATCATCGTCATCATTGTGATTATGATTAGTGTTCATATCATCGGCTTCATCTGCTGTTATATATTTATCATTTGAATCATCAGCGTACGTACATTTATCCGAATCATCATCACTATGATTATGATTAGGATTTAGATCATCAGCAGTATCTGATATTCTTTGAATCATCCTCATTTTCTATACATTAATCAACATTTTGCCAAACTAATTTATACTAAAGTTAACTAAGATAGTTACAATTTTGTATAAGCTTTCCTCATATAAGCTCTCCACTACAGATCACCATATTGATTGTCTCAAGCAATAATTCTCACATAAAATATGCAACTTATTTTTATAGTTATATCATCGTCATTATTATCACCATTATTTTTTTTCATCACCATTTTCGTTGTCATAAAAATCACCATTAGTTTATTGTCCAACAACGACAACGACAACAACGACAACAACAACAAACAACAACAAAATGAACAACAACAACAATAATAATAATTAGTTCCTACATACCTACCAGCATTCGAACCAGCCAACCAACCAAACAGCATCCATTCATCTCGGCACGCTTGTTTTGTTTTTATTTTTCTCCAAAAAATTGTTCGATTGTCACGTACTTATGTTAACATAAAAAATGATACCATTAAGTTTTTTTTCATATAAAATATTATTTATTATATATTTCTGTGGCGTAGAAGATAAATTATCCAATGAGATATCAATCAGAGATATCAAAATCTATCAAAAGAAGATAGGAAAGAAATTAATTATAATAATTAATATTATAATAATAATTATATAAAATTAATTGAAATAAACAAAAACTTCGTAGTTTTTATTAAACAATATGCTATGTTTGAATTTTCCTTGAAGAACTAAATACCTTGCATGCGCTCAATTTTCTGAAAAAATGGACCAACATCAAATTCTTTTAAATTTAATTTGAAGAGTCATTTGTTCAATAACCCTTAGTTATTGCATGTTTATTTTGTATTTTAATACCTTAGACGTGTTCACTTGTTAAACAAAATTTTAATTTTCCATCATTGATACAAATATCAAAAACTAACAAACCAACAAACAAGCAACTATGTAATCGAACAAACGAAAAATCAAACATGCAAACAAAAACAAACAGACAAACAAAAAAGCAAACAAACAAAAAAAAACAGCTCGTCGAGTTCCGCCGCACTTCACGCTGATGAACAGGACATACCACGTGAACATGGGTGCGAACCTGAACGTCACGTGCAATGCCGTTGGCTCCCCACTGCCCAAGGTCAGATGGAGACAAGGTGACATTGACCTTACCCCGGATAACAAGGTCACTGGAGGGAGATCAGTACTTGTGCTAACTGATATAAGGTTGGATTGAATACTTTGTTGGCTTTTCATTGCTGGGCTAGGGTGGACTATTCTACACAACCACACATCTACACATAATCATTTTTTTCTATCTACGGCATATTTGCACAATAATTGTACTTGCACGTTTCATTGTAGCATTAATATCAAATTGTTGTTACCTGGATGGAAGTCAATGGTGAGAGATAATAGGTTGGTTGTATCTAACAACAACTTCACATTTCAATAGTAATTAAACGCGAACAACAACCATCAACAAACATAATGCTATTAGTGGAGAGTTTACCAATGTAACAACAACAAAAACAACAACAACAAAAACAACAACAACATCATCAACAACATCAACACCAACACCAACATCAACAACTACATCAACAACAACACCATCATCAACAACATCAACAACAACGTGATGACTGAAATATTTCTAATGATGTTTATGACGTGATGTTGTGTGCAGACAGTCTGGTACCTACAAATGCATTGCCTCCTCTGAACTTGGGAATATCGAACACGATATTGATGTGCACATTGAAGGTAATGTTTTGTTGTTGTTGTTGTTGTGTTGTTGTGTTGTTGTTGGTGATGTTTTGCTAACATTGTTGTTGATGATGTGTTTTTGTTGATGATGTTGTTGTTTTTAATGTGCTAATATTGTTTTATAGTATTTAATAATTTTAGGGTATTTTATATAATATTCATGATGTTTGCTCGCAGTCGGTGTCTTAAGTTGCTTTAATTAACCAACGAATCACATACGGTTTATGTTTTACAGTTGATTACATGAGAAGACAACAAAAACAACAGCAATAACTAAAACAAAAAAAATAATAATAAAGTAACATTTTGAAATATTAAAGAAAAATAAGAAAATTGAAAAAAATTATTAAATTAATGCAAAAAAAGAGAATTAACGCACACGTGCTGAAATTTATAACTTTAATTTCTATGTTGTCTGTTGTGCGTGTGTACGTGTGTACGTGTTTGTATGTGTTTGTATGTACATGTGTTTAAGTATGTGTACATTTAACTGTATGTTTTGTATGTATATGTGTTTGTGATTTGTGGGTTTGTACATATATCTATTGTGTGTATTTTTGTTTAAATGTGCCAGTTTGTGTTGAGTTTGTATAGATATCGGTATGTACATTGTAAGTGTGTTTGTGTGTGTGTGTGTTTGTGTGTTCGTGCGTTCATTTGGAAGAACCATTGACATCTCTTTCCTCTTTCCTGTGAGCTCACATATAATTATCTGTTTATCGCATGTGCTCCAGTGCCTAATGCTCTTTCGCAATTTGCATTATTATTATTTTGATAATGATCATCAGAGTTATCTTCATCTTTTTCTTCGTCATCGTCATCGTCTTTGTCGTCATCATCATTTTCATCGTCGTCGTCATCTTCATCATCCTACTTCATCCTACATCATCATACATCATCATACGTCATTATACGTCATATGTCTCGTAATGATCAGCGACATAATAAATAACACCACTTGTTAATGTTAATCATTATTATTATCCATTATTTTATCACTTGCATCATTGTCATCCAATCTGTTAAATACCATCTTCACTATACCAACATCTCCTCTTCCTCCTCCTCCTCATCATCATTCGTGTCATCATCTTCTTCTTCGTCATCACATCACAGCCAGCCCCATCAAATTCACCTTTCTTATCTACTCTAATGGCAGTTAATTCTGCACTCACTATGGTTGAATGATATTTAATGTATGAGTGCGTGCATCATCTTGCCTCCAGCCAACAAATCAAGACGTCGACTTCCACACATCACACAGACGCATGCGAAACCAATTGTAGGTATATACGAAATTACTGTTTATAAATTACAAGCAATCATATAGACATTTTGAGATTGATTGGAAATAAATTTTATAAACTATCATATTTTACAAACTTTTTTCTTCTATTTCATGTATATATCTCTATATAATACATATCGTATCCATGAGTAAATGGTTATGCCGAATTTTACAGAACGCATTTGAAGCAGGTACCACTGTCACCAACAATTTAACAGCGCAATAACGGCAAATATTCTACCACATGAGCTAACTAACGTACTAACAAACTCCAGCGAACATTTCACGCGTTGTTCATTCGATAAATTTGAATTGTTTACAATGAAGTTTAATTTATGAGGCTGGTGATGGGTTGGCTGTTGGCTGGTTGATCGGTCGACTATACACTCCTCTTTCAAATTCATTTCATTCAGACCTCAGCAATCTGGTTGGTCGTTTATGAATTTTTAAGCATTTTGTTATTAGGCTTGTAAACAAGCGAGTTTAAAATATTAAATAGAGAGAAAGTTAGATTAGGTAGATTAGTGGTGGCCTTACCGCTGTGTCATCATCAGTCGAGAGGTTTCATCTAATTATACAAATGACTTCTAATACTCTTCAGAATTTTCACTCTTGTAGATTTAATATCACTTAATTATTATATTACATTTCATTCATGGGTGGATTCGCTTTTGGATTAAACAATGAATGAATGGACTCGTTATGTAAATATGTAAATATGTAATGTAATGATGGTACATACAATGAATGGAGATGTATGACGATGTGTGATAGTGTGTGTGTGTGCCTGCGTGAAGTTGTGTGTGACTGTGTATGCGTGTGCGTGCGTGCTCAAAGTTGTGTGTGGATGTGTGTGTGTGTGTGTGTGTGTGTGTGTGTGTGTGTGTGTGTGTGTGTGGTTGAACTGCATTCCTAATTTTATAATAGAATAGATGACGTCATGTTAGAAATTTGTCTCTTTGGGTGTTTTCAACATTCAAAAATTTCGTAATTACTGTATGTTTTAGATGTCGTGAGATGGTAATCAGTGCTACTATTGTTAGTGTTATTATTGTTTTGAATGCTGCTGCTGTTGTTGTTGTTGATGATCTCGTTGTTGTTGATGATCTTGTCGTTGTTGATGTTGTTGTTGATGTTGTTTGTAGTGGTGTTGTTATTGTTGGAAAAATTAAATTAATAATTTAATAAACAATTTTTTTTATCATTAGTTTGAATGAAATAACCAATCTATTATCCAGAATTTATTTTAAAATCTTATTTAGGATTGCATTGGCTTTTCTGATACCTTTAGACAGTCCTAATTTCAATTATAAATTTTATTTTATAAAAAATAATTTTAGTTCATATAAAATATTTCATGTTTATTTAAATTTACTATTTTTCGTTATTTATTATTTTTATTTTTTTATATTTTATTATTTTTTTGTTTCGAAACTTTTATGTTCTCATCTTAAACTGGACAACCGCCTGAAACCTTAGAATCCGATGATAAAGTTAAGAGATCAGCATTACAAGGTTTGTTGTTCTACGCGCGCGCGTGTGTGTTTGTGTTTGTTTGTGGGTGTATTTGGGTGTGTGTGTGCGTGTGGTGTGGCGATGTCGGGATGTACATTTGTTTGTGTGTTTGCTTGTTTATGTGTTGTGTGGAATGTGTGTGTGTGTGTGTGCGCGTGTGGTATGGTGTGTGTGGTGAATGTCAAGATGTACATTTGTTTGTGTGTTTGCTTGTTTGTGTGTTCGTTCGTTTGTTTGTTTTATTGTTCGTTTATCTACGTTTAAAATTAGTTGCAAATGTCTGTTTAGTTTGTTTTCATCTGTATAATTATTTTTATTTCTTTATATGGTTAGTTTATTTTTTGTAATACAATACCTCGAATGCATGCAATCATCACCAGATGTCCTTCCAACTCCGACCAAAGTCCGTGCAGTTCCCATCAACCCGGAATCTATCCGTGTTGATTGGCAACTTGCTCCTACTGGGAGTGATGAGGATGGCGAGGAGGCTAAAATTGACGTGAGATAGTTTTACCCGCGGTGATGATGGCAATGACGAGATTGATGATGTTGATGATGATGGAAACGATTATGAAACAATGTTAGAACAGAATTTATATGATGATGACGATGGTGATGATGGCGGCATTGCAAAATGTAATTAACTATAATGATGATGGTGGTTCGAATGATGAGGATGATGATGAAAGTGATAATGATGTTGTGATGATTGTAATGATGAGGACGTATAACGATTTGAAAGGAGAGCTTGAAAAATAAATTAACAATTTTTGTGAGGAGATTATGCGGCTTAGTTCATTGATGAAACAAATGTTTTCAACTTTTATGAGATCAAGAGAAATTTAATTAAAACTCGCAACAAAAACAAATTTTATCGCAAAATTAATTTTTTTTAAATTTTAATTTAATTTTTTTTCTACAATTTATTACCAATTTTTCTCCTTTTTCAGCCTATTGAAAATTTTTATTTATCAAAATAAAAAGCGTTTTATATTTATTTTTGTGTCTTTTAACATGCGTGTATTTTAAATCGGCTTTTCAATATTTACATAATAATTTTTTATATATATTATTATTTCTAAGAATAATTAAATTAAACTTGTGGATATATATATATATATATATATATATATACATTAATTTATTCATTAAAATTACTCACCGTCATCATCATCATCGTCACCAGCACCATCATTGCCATCGTCACCATCATTGTCGTCGTCAACATCACTCAACTTCATCGTCACCATCATCATTGTCACCATCATCATCATCAACCTGACCAGGGTTTTAAGGTAACCTACTCCTCCCTATCCGAACACAACCCCCACCAGCCCGACATATCCTCGACGGTTCTTGTTGCTGGTGGACCGTCCAGTCGCCACGAAATCGTTTCAGGCCTGCAGTCAAACCTGGACTACAAGGTCCAGGTGGCTTCCTACAAAGCTGACCACATCAGCGAGTTTTCCCATCCGGTCATCGTTAAGCTTAAACTACCTGGTTTCGCATTTATTTTAATATTTAATTGTCTGCTCGTCTGTTTGTTTGTTTGTTTGTCTGCCTGTCTGTTCGTCTGTCTGTTTATTTGTTTATTTTGTTCGTTTGTTTGTTTAGTTTGATTGGTTATCTGACTAGTTTGTTCGTGACTTGTGTTAACATGTTTTTGTTTTAAACTATTTTGTTGACCTACTTCTCAATATATTGTACAATTTCAATTGAGAAACTATTTCTAATAATTTTTATTGCTCTGTATGTTTATTGGACAACTGCTGATCGTTTATTGCATAAGATTGCATAAATTCCGTTTTAAACCAGCCAGTCTGAAGCTAGTGTAAAAAGGTACTAGTGCACCAATCGCAAATACAAATGTCCTTAGTTGAGTTATCAAAACATTCCACTTTAGTGTTCCAATACAACCAATTCTACGTTCGCCAGAAAAAAATAACAAAAACAAAGACATAAATATAAAATTAAATTTCAATAACAACAACTTTCCAAGGTCTCTCCATCTATCTGAAGGCTGAACCTTTGACCTTAAACTCCATCCGACTGACCTGGCATCTGTCTGACCCGGCATGGGATATGTACGCCAAAGGTTATGACCTCACGTACGGGGAAGTTACAGACAACAACAACAATAATAATAATAATAATAACAGCAATAACAACCCAATTCACGCTGCTAGTGTTTTGAAAAATGATTCTAATCAGAGGAGCAGTAAAAAGGTTGGTTGGAAAATTCTCACCATTCTACGCCCCGCCATAAATCTTCATCCCAACGCAAAGCCATGAATCATTATTACAAACAGCGTCCTAATTATCGCCGTCCTTCGCGATATCATTGTTGTTTCATAAAAAAAGTCTTCACTGAATTTTTACATTCCGCAAAATGATCTCCGAAGAGTTTTTTTTTATATTGAATGTTGTCCCAATATTAATTCTTCCATTGCAATTGTTACAATTCTTCTTATCATCGCCGTTTTAAATGTCACTATTTTAAAGCACATCATTGTCATCATTATCAAGATCATCGTAACCATCATCATTGTCATCATTATCATAAACATCATCACCATCATCATTGTGGTCATAGTCATCTTGATCATCATTATCATCAACACCATCATCATTCACTACCATCTTCATCCTCATCATCCTCACATCCTCATCATCCTCATCATCATCTTCATCATCACCGTCATCTTCATGACCAGATGTACTCCATAAACCTGCCGCAAAGTCGCCTCACCTACGTCATAGATGACCTCAAACCAGACAGGGACTACAAGTTCAAGGTCGACACCATGGTGGCCGACGACAACAAGATTTCTGTGGCAAGCAGTGGCTTCGTTGTCGCTAGGACCCTGGCTGGAGGTTTGTTGTTTACCGCTGTTTATCCGTATGTGTCAGTATGAATGTGTGTAGGTGTACCCACGTGTGTGTGCGTGCGTCTGTGTGTGTTTGTAAGTGTATAGACAAGGAGCTGAAAAAATATTTGTTTGGTTTGAGCACCCAATAAATTGCTCATAAACATCAGCCAATGAAACTCTACTGTTTTTTGCACACAAAAAATATCTTTCTCTCAAAAATAACTCTTCGCCTAAAACTTTTATGCCTCTCCTAACATCAGTGCTCTTGATTTAATGTAATTATTAAACACACAATATTCGCTCCTTCTTGTGTGTGCGTGTGTGCGTGTGCATGCATTCTATTTCTTATAAATAGATGTGTGATGTAACCTCTCACTGCCTGTTGAAACTACTACTTTTTGCTGCATTTCTACAATTCTTATCTCATGTTGGTGTTGAAAATTTTATTTAAAAAAGCAAGAATTAAGAAATAGAAATAAAATACGTTTTTAAATAAAAATAATTGTTGAAATAATAAAATTAGGCTGATAAATAATTTATAATTTTTCGGTGCGTACGCTAAATGGTAATTATATCGCATACAAATGATCGTCGTATGTCAGACCATATTTTATCTCATTTAAAAGGCACTATTTTTTTGTTTTACTGTAGAGAACTTTTAATTTAACTATTATATAAACCAAAATTCAAAAAATAATTCTGTTGTTTCCCACATGAAAAGAATGAAATATTTCTTTAGTTTTAAGCTTAGAAGATGAATGCCTAATGATCGTTTGGGCGTTAAAATGCATTAATTTTTCATAATTGATCTTTTATTGGACGTTGTTGTATACACACAACGTACAAAATGACGATACTTGCTGGTGGGCAGTAAAAACTGAAGGCATATAAAGTAACGTAAAGCGTGCAATTTCAATGTGACGCTTTTTTGGGTGCTGCTTTATCTCATATCATTCATCTATCTTAGACTACATTATCTATTGATGTATCCTCCATTTGATCACTCGTTCTATCCTACCCACTGATATTTATATCATACATGCGATCGTATCATTTGCTTTTGTTTTTATTCGCTATACCAGACAAATCTTTCTTTTCAACAGTCTAGATTTAAATTAATTTTACTTGCTTTTAAATGTTATCTGCTCATTAGAGAAAATCTTTCCAAAAACTTCTTTCACTATAGCAAGTTATTCTTAGAAATGGCGTAATTTATTTTATTGTACAACAAAATATCTTTATAAATCATTCGATGAAAACCATTTAATAAAAATGCTATTATTGCGTTTTGTTATCTTTTCTTCAGTTTTGTATCATGTGTTTTCTGCATTTGTAATCATTACGAATATAACCATCACTAAAAATTATTAAGACAACGTTTAGATACCTTAATTGATTATTGTTTGTGTTATGTGTTTTTTAATATTTTTTAATATACACATCATAAAAGAGTTAATGTTGTTCAAGCATTTTAAATTTGCTTTCTTATGATTTTTTTCCCTGGGATTGCTGTGTTGTAATTACGTGTGTGTGTGTGTGTGTGTGTGTGTGTGTGTGTGTGTGTGTGTGTGTGTGTGTGTGTGTGTGTGTGTGTGTGTAGATGCTTTGAAGGTTCATTACAAATCATAACAATTGCTTCTTTATGTAGTACGCTAAAAATATTAATTAGTTAATTGTTGTTAATTAATTTATTTATTTATCTAATTGATTAATTAAGAAAACAAACTATTGCACGCAAATTCATGCGTTTCTAAGCTGAGTAGAAGCAATATCCCATCGCTTTATTCTGTTGATTTCATGATATTCTTCATCATCCACCTTGCTACAATAGAATTTTATATATTTCTTAACATAAATTAATTTATAAAGCAAATTTATTTTGGTATCAAATGCCAAATTAGATTCATATGGACGATGATAATTATCTCAACATTTTTATCACTTTCATGTTAAGAACTTCTGCCTGTTAGGTTTTTCGTTCGCCTCTTAGTTTAGAAATCCTGTAAATGATTGTTCGATAACCTTCCTTCAGTGCAATAGGTACACTCAACAAATCTTGCTTCATACACTTTATCTTGTTAATCTAGCTAGAGCATAGTTTAATTCAAAAATTGATCGCTTATTTAAATATTCCCCAATCCATTTTTAACTGGCATTACCATAATAATTTTTAGTGGTCAGTGAGCCGCTGAACATTCAGATGGACGCTATCAACTCAACGTCCATCTCATTGAAGTGGAAACAACCGTACGACCTCGACTCAAAAAATCCAATCATCGGATACAGAATATCCTACTTCCAATCACTACCAGACGACAACTACAACGCCGTAGATATGACGTCACTAAGTCCCCCACTGGTTCATGACGTCACAGAGACCTATGCGGTCCTTAATGGATTGAACCCGGGGTCGGTGTATGCCATTGAAATTGCAGCCTACACTCAACTCAAGTTGGGAGTTTTTAGTAGGGCCAGGAAAATTAAAACAAAAGATACCGGTTGGTTTGTTGGTTGGGCTGTGCTGTGTTAGATGTTGTGCTGTGTTTTTGTTATTGGTTTGTGTTGTTTGTTTTGTCGGTTCGTGATGGTCTTTTGATTTTGTAGTGTCGGTTAGAGTTGATGTTGATCTTTCAGCTACAATTTTTTAGTTGGTATTGCTATCAATTTTGTTTGTCTTGTTAAAAAGAACAAAATTTAAGTGGTTACCTGATTACACGGTTACATGGTTACATGGTTAAGTGTTTACCTGGCTATATGGTTACGTAGTTACATGGTAACGTTGGTTTCCTGTTTACATAGTTAATTGGTTATAGGATTACATAGTTACATGGTTACGTAGTTACATGGTTATATCGTTGCACAGTTTGCGCTGGCGGATCCAGAAATTTTTGGTTAGAGGGGATGATTTTCAAAGTTGTAACGATGTTAACTTTTTTTATTTCCTACCCTCCGATCCATGGGTCCCTCACGGACTGGTTGTGGAAACTATAATCTTTATTGGCTCGTATTTTGGGTCGTTGCATTTTGTTTTTTTTTCTATTTCAATTAATTTTTTAGAAGTGACAAAACGTAAGTAATTTTGAATTAAAAAATTAAAACTTGTAAAAGAAGAATAAATATCGCCACCTCAGCGCCAAGCGAGCCACACAACTTCCGATTGGATATGTACCAAATCAACCCGCCCGTCGTCTCCATATCCTGGGATCCACCCCTGACGACGAACGGAGCACTGGAAGGTTACTGCCTGACCTACCACGTGGTCGGTGAAAGTCCTGTCAATCAGGAGGAGAAGAGGTTCGATTCGGCAAAAACTGAATTTGTCACTGGCATCTTAAGTGAGTTGATGCATTATTGCTGATGCATTGTTTTGTTGTTGTTTTGGTTGTTTTTTTGTTGTCGGTGATGGTGGTAGTGTTTAAAATTAGTTGTGCGCGGAATTCAATTTATTAGTGATGTGGTATTGTGAGATTTACACGAAATATGAGTCAAACACCTGTTGAATAATAAATAATCTCCCGAAAGATAATTTTCTGAACGTATTACAATTTAAACTGAGTGCGCTCAATGTTGGGAACAATGGAAGTTAATTAATTATATTGAACATTTCACAAAAAGAACAAGGTGTTGAATATGAGTTCAGACTATCCGCCAAGAATTTGTACGGATTTGGAATTGAATCTGTCGGAAGATTGGTGACCCCTGGCGGAAGTTATTATAATTTTTTGCAACAATACATGTCTATAAAATTTGAAATTAATTCTTTTTTAAAATTATTTATTTAAATTAACGATGACATTTTTCAACTTAAATTGTATCTATCGAAATTGTATGAACTTAGTCATTTTGTGATGAAGCAATCAACACAAAATGAACGATTTAACTTATTAAATTAGTTAAAAAAAAACTATCCCATATCTGCTTACATGGATGGAAGATATATGTCTTGGGCTACTACACGCTTATATCATTATATCATGATATACTTATTTCTTAATTTGAATTGTTTTCTATATTGTTTGTTCGTTATATCAGTTTTATTTTGAAGGCTAAGTTTTTTTTTGGAAATATATCTTTCCGATCATTATTTATTTATTCTTCGGTAATCTTTTGTTGTTTGCATTTTAGTTCATGCAATGCCTGTTTCTAAAACCTAACAACCCTGACACGTTATATGAATTACTGAATTTATCGTTGGAGTAACAAAAATGTTGAACATGAAAATTTGTCAGAGCCTTCAGGCGCTCCACAGAACTTTACCGCCACAGGCTTCAACAACAATCCTAAATCCGTAAAACTGCAGTGGAATGCTCCCTCGAAAGATGTAAAGATAATAAATTAATTATTCATTCATAATTTAGCTGAATCTATTTTTTTAAACTTATCATGTTAAAATGTGAATGAGTAGATTTAATAATTTTTTTAGTTTTCATCACGCTCTTGATAATCTGCAACAACAGCACAGGAATGGTGAGATCATCGTGTACGAGGTGATGTACCACCTGGCAAACAATCCGACCATCGAATGGCGGCCCTACAATACGACTAATGACTCCTACATTTTCGATTCCCTCAAGCCCAACACGGAGTACAACTTCCAGACGAGAGCCTACACAAAAGAGGGACCTGGGCCGTGGAGCAACCAGCTTCTTTTCAAAACTGCGTCCCAATGTACGATCAAATTTTCACAAATTTTTTTATGACCATCCTCTACTTATATTGTTGCATTAATAATGTTTCAGTATAATGAAACAGTATAATGTTTCTGATTTTTCTTTGTAAAATTAATTAGTTTGGTGTCAAATTTTTTAGAAATTTTCAAAAGTGCGTTATTTATTTTTCTATTGCGTTAAATATTTTACAATTATATCAAATTTAATATTATTTTTAAACCATCTCTTAATTTTCTTACATTCCATACACTAAAATCAAACAAACAAATCGCACAAACTTATGAATGATTCTTATCACGCGTTTGGCATATCAGCTAATGTTTCCTTACATCCATTTATTTCCTAGTTAACTTCATTGCGTTGTACTTTAATTTGGAACTGAGCAGATAGCTACGCGCCACCCGTCAACATTCAACTGAAGCGCCAACAACCCTCCGAGATGGACGTCAGCTGGGACCACCCGCCGGCGAGCAGAGGCATCATTGGCTACCGAGTCTACTATAACACAGTGATTTGAAGAAATTTCTATTTTCAATCGAAAATTGTTAATGAAGTTATTTTTAAATGTAAAATTATTATTCTACATTGCACCGTTAGGTTGCCATCCCCGATATAAATCAATGGTCGTACAGCGAGGTGAAGAATTCTCAGACGTCTCACCATCTAACTGGACTCGAAGCGCTGTCCGTCTACGTGGTCAGGGTGAGGGCAGTGTATGCTGACGGCAAACTTGGGAATCTCTCAGAAATCGTCTACTCTAACAAGCTTGAAAACGGTTTGTTAAGTTGTATTGTACCTCTTCAATTTGTAATCTTAAATGTTTTCCATTTCTCTTGAATATAGATTATATTTAGTTTCAAATCTAACGATTTTATGCTTGTTAATGTTTATATTTCTTTACATTCAACGGAGTAAATATAAAACTAAAATTATCTGAATAAAGAAAATCAAAATTGTTTCAACAGAGAGGCCCGACATGGTAAGAGATTTTCACGCTCGGACGAGCAACCCACGCTCCATCACTTTGGAATGGAAACCTCCCAAGAAACCTGGATTGTCCAAATATAAGGTTCATGCAGCACTCAAATTACGTCGCTAAACTTTATTCACGAAATATGAAACAATAGTATGTTACATTCGGAGTATAAAATTACATTCAACGTATCCACAGATCGAATACTTAGGCTACAAGAAGACCATGAACCAAAAGCATAACTTGGAAGAAACGGTGATTGACGTGAAAAGATCTTTTGACGTGGAGAAAGAAGAGAAATCATTCCAAATAGATGACTTGCTGCCACACACGCTCTACATCATCAACATCACGTCCATGTTCATTGACGGTTCAAGAGGACCAGCTTACCAACTGAAAGTTGAAACAAGTAGCTCCAGTGAGAATATTTTTTGCGGTTCAATTTAAAAGTTTTCATTTTATAAATTCATTTATTTTAAAACACGTTATGAAAACATCAACGTAGCTCCACCCATTCTGGACGCTCCCACGCTGATCCGTGCTGTCGGAGAAGGAAGTGTCCTACTGAGGTTGACATCTTCAACTACAACTCCACACTACGGAAATGTTCAATACTACGTTGTCGTCATGTTTGCCAATGAGAGGAGGAATCCAGAAGATATATTAATCGACGAGGTAATGTGGTAGTCTGGAATAAATGAATTAACGACAGTTGTTTGTGGAAAATTTGTCGAGAGACTATCGTCTAGTTACAAAAGTAAATAAAACTTGTAACAAGAGCGGTCTGAGTATACCATTTCTATAATTAAATTTACTATATACGCAGTTTTTAATCGCTATTTGCTATATATTTTAAATAATTGTCCTTGAAGTTATCGTATTGTAAGTAGAGAAATTTTAAAATAACTTTTACTAAGAAATTTTAAAATAACTTTTACGTAAAAAATATATTAAACAATTATTTTAATTCACTTTCCATCATCCTTGTGAAAACTTACACGGGTCAGTTAAAAGGCCCACAGAAGGATGGCTGGGTGGCCAGCAAGTTCGATGTTGTCCTACCGAAGGAGATGGTACTCGGTGACGGGGGCAGGTCTGCCTCTGGGGACTTCATCAACTACCGGCTGAGGAGAGATCAAGTTTATAAAATCTTCATAAGAGCGGTCTTGCCTGAAAATAAAGTCAGTCGATCCATTGTGTCAGATGTTTTAAAAAATTTGTTTTTCTCTACTTTATAGCCAGCAAGCAACTCGCACGAAATTGATGCAATTTTGTCGTGACAGTAAAAATTTGTTTCTATCGTGATTGAAACATAACTGCACAAAAATTTGGACGTTACATAATTTGAGTGATTAATTCAATATCTAACAACAACAGAGGTTGAGTTCTTCCTCGCCGTATTCAGCTTTCATATCGATGGAAAAGTTGGAGGTAAAGAGTCAGATGATGGTGGGCAACTTTGATCTGCTGTGGGTGGTTGGCCCCATGTGCGCCGCCATCGTTCTCATCCTCCTCGTTGTCCTCATCATCATTTTCAACAGGTCACATAATTTGTTCCGCTGAAATAGACTCTGAAATTTCCATTAATTTTAATTATCTAAATTCAATCAGCAATTTTGATTTTAAAATTTAAAAATATTTTGAAACGATTTTCAGAAATAGGAACAGGGAAAACAACGCCAAACGATATCTCCTTCCAAAACAGCCCGCCAAACTGTTGATGACGCCGACCGAACTCTCCATCAATCCAACGGACCCCGTTGAAATAAGGAGGACTCAGTATCACACTCAAGGTCAATTCTATTTTTTATTTTCATTGCTTCATTTTCAATTATTGTAAAATTTTTTCGATTTTTAATACGCGTTTTCTTTAATACGCAAAGTTAAATTATAGCAAGATCGCATTCATAATTTATTTATGTTATTATACACATTCTTGAAAAATGAATACGGTGTATTAGACTCATTACCATCTCAATAACCACTCCCAGCCTTAACAACATCAATTTTCTTACCCCCAACCAGCTATGGCAAGCCACCCACCTATCCCTGTCTCAGAATTTGGTGGCCACGTCGAGTCGTTGAAGGCATGTGATGGGGTGCTCTTCTCTCAGGAGTACGAGTCCATCGACCCAGGCCAGCAGTTCACATGGGAGACCTCGAGTCTCGACTGCAACAAATCCAAAAATAGGTCTGCAATAAATGGGATCATAAATTTATAAATTGGAAAGTAATTACTTAAATAAATGATCTTATTAAATTTGTTTGTCTTTAACCGAAACAAGCTTATGGATATTTGTATATCAAAATTAATTGCATTTCAAAAACACGAAGGTACGCAAACGTGATAGCGTACGATCACTCGCGCGTGGTTCTGCCTATGTTGGATGGAAGAGTTGGAAGTGATTACATCAACGCAAACTTCATTGATGGGTACAGGAAGTCCAACGCTTATATTGCTACCCAGGTGCCATTGATTGGTTCAGTTTGTCTCGAAAATTATTAATAATACCGGAGGATTTATTAAATTATTTGATTAATTTTTAAAGTAAAATTTTACAAACGTGATTATAATTTTAGACAAAGTTTCGAGTCTACGTTTTTTTTTATTTTGTGCAGGGCCCCCTGCCAGAAACGTTTGGAGATTTTTGGAGGATGGTGTGGGACGAGCGGGTGACCATCATCGTCATGATGACCAAGCTGGAGGAGCGTGGCAGAGTTTGAAATGCTTCATCTTAAAATTATTCATTAATCTCATACAAAATACGTAACGCTTTACCATAAATTTTGATTCTTTTACTTTTTCAAACAATTCATTGTGCGATAGATACTATTGAGATTCATAAAACTAATTTTCTATTAAAAACTCTTCATCTGTTTACGTTTTCAGGTTTATTTTCTAAAACTTTTTTCAACCGTTTTAAAGAACATTTTGATGCACATACGTTCACAAATTGACATACACAGCCACTTGTACATCAGTTTTGCATACAACCCGATATAACAGGTGAAGTGCGATCAGTACTGGCCCAACCGAGGTACAGAAGTGTACGCGTGCGTGCACGTCACACTGGTGGATGTCGTCGAACTTGCTATCTATACACTCAGAACATTTCTCATCACCAAGGTAAATTGTCAGATTTAACACTCACTGATCCACTAAATAATTTCTATTGTAAATACGACATGTTCTGCTCTGTTGTGTAATATTCTTGTTCTAAAAACAGTCAAATAGTTAAAAATTTTATTGGAATGTAAAGAAAATCCGCAAATTAAAAGCAGAAATAAAACAATCAATGATTTTTTGTTTGGAATTGAATTCTTTTAATTGCGCTTGTTTTTTGCAGTCTGGCCATCCAGATCGCGTAGAAGTTCGTCAGTTCCAGTTCACAGCCTGGCCAGACCATGGAGTTCCGGAGCATCCAACCGCCCTGCTGATGTTCATGAGAAGAGTCAAAAGTTATCAGACACCTGAAGCTGGCCCAATTGTTGTGCACTGCAGGTTTAACATCATGAAAATTCTCACTTGAATTTTGTGTTCAATGTTTGATGAATTTATTAATTGGTTTTCGAAAAAAGAAATAATTCTCATTTAATTAACAAATTGTTGCCTAACAACAACAAAAATTTTGTCACAAATCTCTAAAATCTCATTTTACTGGCACACAGCGCCGGTGTAGGGCGGACGGGAGCATTCATCGTGGTCGATGCCATGTTGGAGAGGGCACGATTCGAGAAGACCATAGACGTGTACGGTCACGTGACATGCATGAGGGCTCAGAGGAACTACATGGTGCAAACGGAAGACCAGTACGTATTCGTACATGACGCCATTTTGGAGGGAGTCGTCTGCGGATGCACGGAAATCCCCGCCAGAAATTTGTACGCCCACATGCAAAAACTGATGAGCTTAGAACCGGAGAGCGCATCGAATTTGTCTCTAATGGAAATGGAGTTCAAGGTGGGTGTGCAGTAGTCTTTGCATACTAGTGAGAAATCATGATTTTGTAAACTTGCTACTTGTTTCATCCATTCAGAAGTTGTCCACAACGAAAATAACGAGCAGTCAATACGTCAGTGCGAGCTTGCAGAACAACAAATTCAAAAACAGATTCGTTAACATTTTGCCATGTAAATAGATTAGTTTTTATTTATTTTTTATAAAACTTACATATTTTTATTATTAAAGGTGTAATTAAATTGTTGTCTGTCTGTTACCTCCAAACATTGTTTATTAACGTTTAACACTTTTACGTAATTACGCCAAGTTACTAAAACAAAAGTAAAATCCGTGAATGCAATAAAAAATAACATATATCTGACATAACTACAAATGATGACATATTCCATTTTCCATTGAAATTTATTTCCACCCTACAAAGTTGAGTCAACACGAGTTGCACTGCAGATGATCAGAGGGGTGGAGGGGTCAGATTACATCAATGCCAACTTCATTGACGTTAGTTCCATTTCATATTGAAACTATTGTTGATAAACCAGAAAATTTCATGATTAACATTCTGCAATCTCTCATCACTAATGGTTTATTAAAATGTTATTTTTTAAAACCGTTGGTACGAAGCAGAAACTAAACAAAATACGATTCAAAATTTAATGTTGGTTTAGATACTCTATAGTCAGTCAATTAAGATAATACTCGTTCACAATGACCCACTGTCCAGGGCTACAGATACAAGAAGGCCTACATAGCCACGCAGGGTCCCCTGGCAAGCACCACGGAAGATTTCTGGAGGATGTTGTGGGAGCACAATTCCACAATCGTCGTCATGCTGGTTAAACTGAGAGAAGCCGGAAGGGTTTGCACAACTCAGACACTGTTAATTTATTATAAAAAAAAACAATTCTTTTTTTTTTAATTTGATATTTCAAAACAAAACATTTAAATTAAAAACATATCCATCCGAACGCACTGAACTGTAGGAGAAGTGCCATCAGTACTGGCCAAGCGAGAGATCAGCGAGGTATCAATATTTTGTTGTGGATCCGATGGCGGAGTACAACATGCCACAATACATTTTGAGAGAGTTCAAAGTTACAGATGCCAGGGTCGGTGCAATTTTTGCCGTATTTGATTCAACTAATCTTCAACTTTTTGTAATGGATGAATTGTTTGCAATCATCGCAGGATGGTCAGTCGAGAACAATCAGGCAATTTCAATTCACTGATTGGCCGGAGCAAGGAGTGCCGAAGTCTGGCGAGGGCTTCATTGATTTCATCGGACAGGTGCACAAGACAAAGGAGCAGTTTGGTCAGGATGGTCCGATCACTGTTCACTGCAGGTTCTTTGCAATGAGACACTTAGAATGAATTAGGAATCATCGTTATACGCTTGAGTATAAAACTTCATTACATTCCATTTTGTTTGAAATTTTTTTTGCGATCCAGCCTATTATTTCTACAGGGAACATTATAGAAATAACTTGAATAATCAGATGAAAATTAGGAAATATTCAGTTGAACTGGTGCTTCGCTGCATTTTCACAAATATTTACTTTTTTCAATTCCATCCCCCACTTGAACAAACAATTAATGTAATCTGTAGTGAGATTAATAAATAAATTATTTTGCCATGTTTTTTAATGGAACAACAAATTTATCAAGCGGTTATAAATAAGAGTAAATAATTGAAATTCAGCGCGGGCGTGAGCAAGACCGGTGTGTTCATAGCTCTGAGCATCGTACTGGAAAGAATGAGGTACGAGGGGGTAGTCGATCTCTTCCAGACCGTCAAACTGCTGAGAACTCAGAGGCCCTGCATGGTCCAAACGGAAGTACGTAAAGGGATGTTGATGATTTTAACAAATACACACTACTGTAATATTGTCGTCGATAAATATGACGATGATAATGCTGGAAAGCATGGCGATCATGGTGAGGCAGTAAGTAATGTTAAAAGGATGAAACTGTGCACAATAATATGTTTTAAAATGATATAACCAACAATTATTTTCAGAGCACAAGTCAGAATCCAGAGGATCACTACGCATTTTGCTACAGAGCAGCTCTCGAATACCTGGGTTCATTCGATCATTATGCAAATTAGTGTTAATCACACGCACGCAATCAACGAACTTGTATGTAATTTATTCAGCAACTAACTTCTTACGTGTGCTGGTTTTGTTTAAGTATCTTGTTTCATATGCATGTGCATGAACATTCGCGTTGCCATCGTTTTAAATATCCCAAGTTATTCATGTATTTATTTTTTCATTTCAAAATCAAATACGAATTGACCTAAGCGTTAGAATGTTTAAAACATATCTTAACATAAATCATTCACTACAGACCATCAAACATAACATTGTGCTCTAACGATTGAAACCTTCTGCACTTAGCAAACAACTCGTCAACACTGACTGACATTGTACAAACTTCGTCGTTTGCAATCTTGTTACTTATGAGATGTTGATACAAATCGTGAAATACGTTATGACAGACATGTAAAGCCTGAGATATTTTTATCAATTAAATTAATTGCGGATTTTATTTTTGTGTACAATTTATTCTTGTTGATTCGTTCCTGTATTATTAATCATCCTTGCTATCTTCGTGTACAAAATGTTCCATCTAATTAGCATAACCTACAACGTTTAAGTTAAGAAATTTTTCTTCAACGTTTTCTGACAGAGAAAAAATTTAAATGACACGATTTATGGTTTAAATAAAGTGACGTCGAATTTGTTACAAAAACTTTAATTAATAGTTTGCATGATCTAAATTATTTGTCCAGTGCTTGTTACATTATCATAAACATTAGTCGACAATTTAATGCATATATGTCATATAAATAGATAGATATTTCTTTTGTTTGTATTGATGGCAATATACCTTCTTAAAATTGTAACGTACGACCGCATTTTAAAATATTCAGAAAATTAATTACGAAGTAAAAATTAAACGAATTGTTTGAGAGACACAACACACACACACATACACATACACACAAACAAACATACAAACACACCTACACAACTTTTAATAGTTTAGCAAATCATTTAAGGTTATATTTTATTTCTCTGTTCAGTTTATTGAGATAAAAATTTCAAGTGTGTTAATGCCAAAACTGATAAGAAAACAATAAAATAATAAAATGACGTCACAAAAACTTCTCAGATAAATAAAATATAAGAACGGTTGTTGCGTCAAGAATTAGAAGTTAAAATTATCATGGTGATGAATGAACCATGGTTATTTCATAAACGTTAGAATTTACAATGACAACAACAACAACAACAGCATAGCAACATTTTAACAATTAATTTACAATATTACAATTAAAATATGCTAATGTAGCCGGAATGACAACAACAATCACGACAACAACAACAATGAAAAGAAGAATAATAACCACAGAAAGAATAATAATAACCAAAAAATTATCAATTAGCAAATGAATAAAGATAAAAAAAATAAATTAGATAAAAAAATTTAACATTTCTGAATCCCATAAAAAAGTTACGTTAGGTTTAGGAAATTATTTAACATAAATAAATAAACATAAATTAGTTAATTAAAAATAGTGTACCAAAGAACAAAATAATTTATTGGACAGACACTTGAGTGAACTGCCAAACGAACAAAAACATTGAAAAGTTTAAACGATTTTAATGTCTCTTCTAGGGTTATATATTCCTGCAAAAACAAAACAAACATTTTATTTAAGATTATTTCAAAATAATTTAGAAGTTATGCTTCCCACGCTTACCAAAAAAAGTTAATTTATAAAAAAAAATTATTTGTCAAATTTAATAAAATTGCAATAGTAAGAAACATTAGAGATGAAAAATTTATCCGTTTGTTTGTTTGTCTGTCTGTTTGTTTGTGTTTTTTTGTTTGTTGGAAGATATATTTTGTCATGAAACGCATAATGGAAATTGAATATGTACACATACACAAACACACACACACATACACAAACATAACACACACATAAAGTTACGCACATACAAAATAATACGCACACAAATATTCATTTAAATATTTGTATATACATAAACATATATTCCATATAAACATATGTACATACACGTATATACCCATTTATATTTATAGAATGGTGATATATATATATATATATATATATATATATATGTGTGTGTGTGTGTGTGTGTGTGTGTGTGTGTGTGTGTGTGTGTGTGTGTGTGTATATATATATATATTGATACATCAAAATATTTTATACATGAATATTTAACAAGAATATTTATTAGTGCCGCACCGAATATTGAATTTGGCCGAAGTTTTAGCAGCTATCGAAACCAAAATCAATTTTCAGCCAATAAAAATCCACAATTACTCTCCTGGAATTTAACATGGTCATGGCTAGAACGGAAACTGAATATTAAATTTCGACGAAATACTTACGTAACGCATTATCGATGCATATCACGCATTCGTTATGATACTTGGTAAATTTAATTTTTAAAGAATAATGTAAGATTATACAAATTTATAGACGTATACATCCCAATATACATATATAAATTGCGGTTAATGTATGTATTTAAACAGTTTGTAGTCTCGTTAGCCTTATAATGTTAGCCAAACTCATGAACCTCCAAAATTCAGCTTGATCATCTTTTTTGATACTGCAAATATCTTCAACATTATGAAATTGTCTCCTTAAAATTTAACTTGAACACATACAAACCCATTGATTTGATTAAACAAGTTTGTTAACAAACTACATGTCCAGTAATATTTACACTATATATATATATATATATATATATATATATATATATATATTTACAACCAACCTTGTTAGTTAACTATATTTACAATTACATTTCAATTATACTTATTCCGAGTAAAACAACGTCTTTTTAATATTATAATACTGATATATATATATATATATATATATATATATATATATATATACATACATATATATGTTGGTAATAGACCATATTTTTTACAATATTCTATAAATTTTACCGAATGTTTGGCGTTAAAATTTATGTAGAAACATAAATTCACCAAATATTCGGTAGAATTTATAGAATATTGTAAATATATATATATATATAATTAAAATATATAGATTGATCCAAGATTTGTTTCAAGACCCGGATGATGTTAACTGATATCGTGCTCTGATTGACCTTTACATAGGTATAATTGAAAAAGAGAGATTACTAAGTTTATCCGAATAAGATTTTTTTTATCATAAAATAATTTCAAAAATAAGTGGAATAATTTATGTGGCATAAACAAATATAGACATTGAATAAGTTGAGATTGAATTCATTTTTAACGCAATGATATAATTTTGATCCTAAGTTATACTGAGATCAAATGTGTTTTAAGTTAAAATGCATAAAACATTCTTTACGTTAAGGCACTCAAATAAAAAAAAGTTTAAATTTGAATGTTGGGAGACTTGAGACTGATGATAACCAAAGTTGAACCAAATGTCAAAACTCATTCAGTTAGCATCATAGGACGCGTGATTATTTGTGTGTTTATCTGTGCGTGTGTGTGTGTTTATTATATATATAATTATAATTAATTATAAATACAATTTTAATCATAAAATATAATATTTTATTTAAATATTTGTATAGTTATATACATATTTTAACTGTACAATGAAATAACACTTGAACACATGTATGTGTGTGCATGCGTGTGTGTATGTATGTGTGTGTTATATGATGTCAAAATAAAAAAAATATGTCGAACAGAAAATTATTTTGAAAAATTAATTAAATAATTAAATTTAACAAAATAATAAATGTATGTACACCAAAGAATTTATTTATATATATATATAAAATCATTCATTCGTTTGTTTATTTAAAATTCATTTATATATATAAATTTGCATATAATATAACGAATACATAAAATATTCAAAAGAAATAATGACTAAATTGTTGAAAAATAAACTAATAAATTATAAAATAAATAAACGAAGAAACGAAGAAACAAAAAGATAGAATATAATTTCCATTTTGTGACAAATCGCTTGTGTCCATTTAACAGCAACAACAACATCAATAACAACAAAATATTTAGGAAACGCAACAGCAAAACAGAGAACGGTCAGTTTTATCGTTTGATAAACTAACTACAACAATAACAACAACAGCACTAACAAAAATAACAACAGAGACAACAACAGACGAATAACATTCATTGAGACTAATTATGAACTGTACATCTTTATTTATTCATTCATTCATTCATTCATCCATTTATTTATTTACTTATTTTCTTATTTATTTATTTATTTATTTATTCATTCATTCATTCAATTATTTATCCGAACATAACGTGAATTTTTATTTACCCAGCCATTCATATTAACGTTGTACAATAATGATATATACAGACGTCTAGGATGCTGACAGTTACGTAAAAAACGACTCCCCTCCCATGTCATTGAACTATTCTACAACAATCACACATCCACACGAATAAAAAAATTAAAGAAAATGCTTCAATAAAGACATAGATAGCGTAGATGGGTACATGCAATTGCAACATTCTCGCATTCTCGCTCTAACTCAGATAGACCCTTTAAAATGACATCAACAATTTTAATTGATGCCCTTATCAAATTAAACAATTAATCACCACTGAATTATTCACCATTGCTTCAGCTGCCATCTTTCCTCTTCGCATTCTTGACGTCATCAGACCCGTTAGAATCATCACGGATGACATCATCGTCGCCGTCGTCATCATCTTTATCATCATCGCCATCGTCATCTCCATCGTGTTTATCATCCTCTGTAAGAACTTGAGAGGCAATCCAAACCCTGTTGCTTTCCAAGATGTCCATGATTGGCTGGCAGTCAGGCTGAGTGAGGCGAGACCATATCTCCCAGAGGGGGTGTACAACATAATCTATGAAGCCCATCTGTTGTTGGTGGTTGTGGTGTAATGACGTTGATGATGTTGTTGTTGATAATGAGGATGTTGATGTTGAGGATGAGAATGTTGTTGATGTTGGTGTAATTGATAACATTTCGGTTGAAATTTTGAGAAAGAAATGATAAAACGTTAAAATAATGATACCGTTGATGAAAGGACGATGATCAAACAAAATATACAAAATTTTGAAAAACTAAAACACAAACTAGACAAACCTGCGACTTGCATATGTTGGAGTTTTCTCTATCACAGAGCGGACTGACCTCGAGGTTTAACGACTTTTCAAGGTCACCCTGCCTGAAGAACTCCTCCATAATTCTGTCTGTCCACTGCAGGTAGAGATTCAGTGGCTTCAGAGGATTGCTCAGGTCAGAACAATGGACGAGAGACTGCAGAATCTGAGTGGAGAGAGGATGGATGGATGGATGGATGGATAGATGGCTCGATGGATAGTTAGATATATGGATGAAAAATGAATAAAAAAATACACAGATGGATGAATGGATAAATCAATTGATAGAGAGATAGATAAATGAATAAATGGATGGAAAGATAGATGAAAGTGCCGGTAAATGATTGAATGGATGTATAGATTGATGAATAAATGAAATGATAGATTGACCAATAGTTGGATGGATTGGTGGATTGAAGGAAAATACAAAATGAAAGTTGAATTTACTTATTTTAAAAAATAATGTTTTGTATCGGTATGATATACAGAAATGATTGGTTGAATTAATTAGTATGACAGATGATCACGGTAGCAACTGAGTCCAAATTGTCATCATAATTTTAATTTGTCAGTGTATTGATAAATAAAATTATAATAATAAAAAATTTTTTCAAATAGCTGATAACAGGTTCATAAAATTTTTATTTTTAATAATTTTTCGTCTATTTTTTAATTATTTATCTACCATGGCTGCATGTTTGTTTGCAGCCATCTGAATTTATTTCACCCATTCGTTCTATCGTAAAATCACTAAAAACCACTTTTTTTATTTTAAAAAATAAACTTAAGAATTAAAATAAATCAATCGCATAGATATTTGCGCATGACCAGCATGAAGCCAGCTACACAGACGCACTACCAGCCTACCTGCAATTTATCTTCGGCATTTTCAGGATCGATGATTCTGCGCTGTGCAGCTAATGTACCGACTGCTGCCGCTGATGACGAATGCAGATTGGTGATGGAAGATGATAGCGACGATGAGGCTGATGATGATAATCTTCTTATCTCCACCATGGTCTTCAGATGACCGATGTGTTGGATGTGCTTGCTCATATCTGTAGCCAGCACCTGACAATCAAATGTCAAAAATTTATAAATATTACGCCACATTCCATTCAGATGAACATCTGCAGCGTAGAGGCACATAAAATAGTCTAACGTCTCCTCGAAGCGCAAACGTAAAAATACCAAATGATGACTACTTTGTCGTCTTCATTCGGAAACAACTTTTTTCAAGTGCGCCTTTGCAAACAAAACTAACAAATTGACTTATTTAAATGCACGGGCATGAAACTGTTTATACTAACAAGCGCTTTCTTTTTTTATTATAAATTATTTTGAATTCGGATTCATTCAGCTGTTGTGTTGTCTAGTTGTGTTGATGATGAATAAGATACGGTCTATATATCTATAATTCATTTAATATATTTATAATCACTCTAATCAATCATCTATCCAACAGTCTATCCGTTCGTCTGCCCTTTCATTCATCCATCTAATCATTTATACACTCATCTATCTATCAAGCCATCTGTCCATACATTTATCATTATTCATCAAACTATCCATTTTCACATGCATCCATCCATCCATCTATCCGTCTATCTTTTACTGACCACAGATATCACCATCTTTCTGAACATCTGATGTTGCTTGCGGTTTAGGGTACTGAGAACATCGCATCCTTCTGTGGACAAGGTTTGGAAGGCAAGTGTCACGTGATGGTTCTCTAAGACGGATTCATCATTGTACAGTATGGCGAGGTCGCTATCTGTTGATAGGTTGGTCGTTTGCTTAGTTGGTTGGTTGTTTGCTTAGTTGGTTGGTTGTTTGTTTGTTTGGTTGATCGTTTGGGTGGTTGTTTTGTTGGTTGTTTGGTTGGTTAGTTGTTTGGTTGATTGTTTGGCTGGTTGGTGTAGTGTGCATGGGTTAACAAAGTAACCAACAATTATAAATTTGAATCAACTTTAAAATAAATTATTTGGCTCGTTGTTTCCAAGCGAAGATTACAAAAGTTTATCATTATTTTATTTATAATAATAAAAAATACTAAAGAAGATGATGAAATAATTAAAATGATAATCAGCAATCATTTATTCATCGTCGGTTGACTTTTAAATTACAAAACAAGAAATTATATGCCAAAAACTTGAGGAGCATTCAATGATTCCATCTTTCACTTCCCCACTCACTCACTCACTCACTCACTCACTCACTCACTCACTCACTCACTCACTCACTCACTCACTCACTCACTCTCACTCATTCGCTCACTCACTCACGACTCATTCGCTCACTCACTCACTCACTCTCACTCACTCACTCACTCTCACTCACTCACTCTCACTCATTCGCTCACTCACTCACCACTCATTCGCTCACTCACTCACTCATTCATTCATTCATTTCTTACTCATTCACCCACCAAAAAATGAAACCCGATTATTGAATTAGGGCAATCTTATAGGGAAGTTAATATAAAAATTGTGGGATTGTATCAAAACAGAACATTCTCACGCATATCAATAGATGGTTTGCATTGTATTTAGATAAACATCTCAATTGATCATTACAACCAGACACAATTATTTCGCATCTTTACAAACTTAAGGAACTTTCAATGATTCCATCACTCCTTCACTCTCCCATTCACTCACTCATCTGTTCATTTCTCACTCATTCACCCACTCACTCGTATTGATGAGATATTGATTGGTGACCCCGGGGTGGTCGACATCATGCACGGCGGCTGCAAACAGAGCTGCAAATACTTCCAGCTCGGTGAACACGTTCTTTGTGTGTATGCGTGTGTGTGTTTAGTGTGTGTTCGTATGTGCGCGTCTGTTTGTTTGTTTGTTTGTTTGTGTTCTTGTGTGTGTGTTTGGTGTGTGTGTTTGTGGCGTGTGTGTGTGTGTGTGTGTGTGTGTGTGTGTGTGTGTGTGTGTGTGTGTGTGTGATGGTGTGCTGTGTTTAGATGCCATCAACTCGGAAAGATAAGGATGAAAATAATGATAAGCATGATGAAGTGGACAAAATTATGAAAACGATGGAGGAGATGAATGAAGGTAAGGAAGACAATATAAGAGTAAAACAAATGATTAAGGTGATGATTTAAATGATGATAAAAACTATGATGATAAAAATGAAACAGATGAAGAAGCTATTTTATTAATAGCACAGTTCTAATGAAGTGGTAGTTATCATTTTAACAACTGGAACGATAGCAACGTCACAGCGACAGTGGGAACGACAACAACAATGAAACAACAGACAAATTATTTAACGCTTATTAATTAAAACGTCATAAAAATAATATAGACGTATGCATGCAAGCAAACAATATGATTAATATATTAAACACATAAACATTCGTAAATGGATTATCGGCGTTTAGTATCTCCGCCGAATAAATGGTACAATTAACTACATTTTATATCAGTGCTAGAGGTATTAATTGAAATAATTTCTTTTAACGATAGCAGATAAAAAAGAAGACGAATGTTAACTTTGAAAACGCTGAAGTTGAGCATGTGGTGCGAGGCTTGCAGCACGTCAGTGGCGTGGATGTTGTTGTGATAGGGGTTGTTACGGTACTTGGCCTCTATGGCCGATATGAACTTGAAGAAGGTTAACTCGCGAATTTGAAACTGCTTCAAGATGTTTCGTTGCTGGGAAGAATGAAAATATTTTGTTTTTAGGACGTCGCCAATGTTGTTAACAACCACAAATTGTTAAAATAAAACCACAAAAAACTTGTTGAAACTCATAAACAAAAACAACTGCTGACTAAATAACTAAACTAAAAAAACTTAAGAAAACAAAAATATGAAGACGTTACTTTAAAAAGGTGGAGAGCGACATGCGTGAGAGGCCGGTGGTTGGACAGGGCGTCAACTTCAAACAAATCAACACCCCAAGTGTCGTTCGTGCTTTCTATTAACTGCGCAAGGAAAATGTTCATGTTTAGTTTACGAGTCAGTCTCAGGCTTGTGTAACATTTCAGCATTTATCAACGTTTTGTGTTACTGAGAACACAAAATTTTTAAATTAACAAAAATAAAAATGATTTTAAAATTGTGTTTACGTTATAAAGAACGACAAAGACACAAATGATAGATGCGTTAACAAAAGTGAAGAGCAGGAGTAAGGCGAGCGCAACCTGTTTCAACTGCAAAGGCACGTTATTGCAAAACCGTTCGACATCATTCACGACCGCTTCGTCGTTCATCGCCCTCTCAGATGAGTTCTCCCTAGAGATGAGTCGCGTGAAGATGTTGGTAGCTTTGTTCTTGGCGTTCCTGTTGGAGCTTGTGTCGTCCGTCAGCTGTGGAGCAGCTGTCCTTGAAGTGATGCTCGTCGACGTCTGATCGCCACCATCACCTCCCTCTTCTTTTTTAATGTTTTCAAAAATATCAACAATAGTAATAATTGATTAATAATAATAAGTCTAATAATTTATTAATAACAATAAGTCTAATAATAATAATAACAAAAACGGAACATGGCAACATTAACGAGAATAATAATTCAAACCTAGTTCCACACAAATGATAAAAATGCGTCATCATCATCATCGTCGTCGTCATCTTTGTCACGATCGTCATCATTAGTATCATCATCAACATCACCGTCGGCATCATTATCATCGTCACCATCATCATCGTCGTCGTCAATTGCAAACAACTCCAAACAACAACGATGACGAAAAAAAATATATTACAACATACAGACCTAGGAAAGTTTTCAGGTATCCAGTTATTGAACCCCCGCCGTTGTTCTTCAGGTCAGGGTTCTGACTCATCTCTCTGTTCAATATTTGACTGAACTGAAAATAATTTTTTCAAGTTTTATTTTTATTTCATATGAGTAATTCATAACTAACTCATGCCAATATTCTGGATGTAAAAAAAACTCTACAAAATTGAGCGTGATAGTTTTCTAAGCATTTAATAATTGCAGGCCGAGTTAATGACACATAATTGTTTCAAAAATGCCTGCATCAATTAGCAGATAAGCCATTCAAAAAAATCAGTTAATTTATTTCAAACCAGCTGGCTAATAGCAGACAACAACGTCATCAACATGCGTTGGTAGCTGCGAAACAACCGCTTTCACAAATTATTACAAAAAATTATAGCACCTTGGAAAAATTGCGTTGCAAACATTTCTTACTCTTTAACTTTCAACTGGTAAACAATTTTTGTTAAGTAAGCAAACATTATTCTGAACTGCAGGGAAAACTTATTATAGCGAAGTTAATATAAAAACACATCGATTTCAAAAATTAAAAAAAAAAAAAACAATTTTCCTAGTAGAAACTGCTAATCAAACAAAAATAACAAAAACAAAAATTACCTACAAGCGCATAGTCGAAAGAGAAGTGCAAAGATAACAAGTTAGAAAGATATTAATCAAAAAAAAAGATAATCAAGATTCTATGGCGTAAAAGTCCTATTTTCTAGTGCACAATCTAATGGCGAAATAAAATCTCTACCCAAAAAAGTATCGATTATAATTCAGCTTCAAAGTAACGACGCGTCGCTACCAATGTCGTTACTACTTGTTACTGAAGAGGCGCAACTACTTCACTGGCTACAAAACTCTGGCAGTCACAATCTCTCCATCAAATGAGCACGTGTTACGTTATTTCCACTTTGATTATTGAAACAATTCCACACTAAACAATTTTATACAAAAAAATTTTTTTTACAAAAAATTAGTCACATTTAAATTTATTTACCTGAAATAATTATTGAGAACAAAAATAATTTCCAAAACCGAAACGTGGAATGAAAAACTAGAAAACGGAAATACGACAATCTCTGAAACTGGCGGTGGAAATTGGCGGAAAGCAAAAAAATAATTACTAAAGATAATAAATTCAAAGAAAGATTAAAACTATAGCATTATATCTTTCTAGAAAATGTTGTATAATTTACATTAAAGTCAAACAAATTTTTGTTATAAATTAATTTTCTCATCTTTTCAACGTCGTTTCGTTTTTATTTCAATCTGTTTGTTTACCTTTTTCCTTTTTCAGAAAAAAATAATTTCGTTCCAGTTTTTGTTAAATAGATGTCACGATGTTAATATCTGGATCGTAAAATTAACTTTGCTTAGCTTGCTCTGACCTGTATTGGACAGTTGCTTTAATAGCTTATTAAACTGACCTTTGCTTCATTAGCATATTAAAATGACCTTTGCTTCATTAGCATATTAAAATGATCTTTGCTTGAATAGTATTGTTGTTAATTCGTTGCTGAATGCCGACTGATCACGTGGTTGTTAATTATAGATTTTTACATTTTGTGTCAAAAAAATAATCAAATTTTAAAATATTGAGTTTAAAAAAAATAACAATGGTGAATAAATGTTTATGATAGATATTATTGAGAAAGAGTTGAGAGGACTGAGGCAAATATTGAACGGTCTTGCTCGTTTGGTGGCATTTTTTAATGAAACCACTTTGAAGGGAGATTTTGAAACATAGAGAAATATTTCAAACATCAACCAAAAATATATTTGAACTTTTTCAATGAAAATCAAGTGAAACATCTAACGGAAGAAGTAAAAACTGATAAGGTCGTATTTCGAGGTACCACACTGTCATCATTCTCATCATCATTCAATATCTCCATCGTTACTTCCAAGTCATCATCACATTATCACCCTTCTTCCATATTCACCGGCTTTCTTATCCTGATTTCATGCACGTCTCAACATCTGGGATCGGCAGGATGAGGCATGCAGCAGTAAACAGCTTATCTTCTTCACTTTACCATCTTAACGTTATTTGCCTCACTTACCATCTTGGGCGACGCGATGGTGTAATGACTAAGGTGCCTGGCATTGTTGATGCTGTGTCCGGATTCGAATGCAAAAAAGATCCCCACCTATCACATGCAAAAGTGTTTGATGCGTTGATTCACGTGTATTTATGCACCGTGTGTTTGTTGTAATAATGATAATGCGCCTCATTCGCTTACCATGACGCTATATAAAATGACATTATTATTAAGCTCACACAAATAACTTTATTTAAGTTATTTTGTAGCTTAGCGAAATGAAAAAAAAAGTTTAGTAATGTGATGGACAAGTCAATGTTTAAAAATGATATGATCATTCACAAATGCTCCAAAGAAAGCCGAAGACATTCAAAAAAGAAATAAAATAATATTCGGCAAACTTTGTGGGCAGCCATCTGAGCAGCTGATGGATGGGTCTGCATGCTTTCCACCTTGTCCAGACAAAATTCAATTTCCTCCAGTGTTTCTAATGCTAGCCTCTGCTTCGTCTCCTCTTTTGGATTATTGAATAAAGTGAAATATAACGTTTGAAAATACTCTATTATCAGTGAATTAATAAAATATTCGATCAATCATTTATCCGCTCATTTGTTCGTTTCTTTTTTCATACATTCGTTTGTCTAATCACTGTATCATATAATCCTTGGATCGTTTAATTCATTCATTCGTTTGTTTGTTCTTTCGTTCGTTCATTCATTCATTTATTTATTCACTCGTTTATTCATTCATTTAATCAATCATTCATTCAAATAAAAACTGTACCAATCAAAATGACTTGGTATTTTTTGGTAAATATAGTTAATCAATTCAAACTTTGTGAAAATTAAGAATTCAAAGTGCATGTCACTAACCGTTGATAACATTGTACTTGAGAATTTTATCAGCTTCGTAAAGAGAGAGACGTCGCGATCTGAAGAAGAAAAAGAAGAAGTTGTTCGTTTGTTTGTTCACTTAATTGTTCGTTTTTCGTTTGTTTAATTGTTCGTTTGTTTGTTCGTTTGATTGTTCGTTTGTTCGTTCGTTTATTTTGTTTACATTTTGCTCGCGCATTTGTTTTCATTTTCCATAAAATGAATGCTTTTGTTGAGATCAGCGTAACAATAAAATAATAAGTTGAATAACTTCTTGAACATTTGGAAATACTATACCTAAATAAATTCATAACAAATCACGTAAAATAAAATAATAATATTATAACGAAGCGTGCAATGCTAATCTGAAACCCAATTTTAAAAAGAAAACAAACTTTTTCGGCGACAGATTGGCTACAACGAAATAGTTGTTCCTGATACTTCGAAGTGAACTGAGCAGTTGAGCGTACGGCGTTACGATTGTCTCATCTAATCCACTGAAAAGCATTAATATGAACTGTTAAAGTTCTCGTTTCAACGATCGTAGCAATAATTATTATCACTATAATTATTATCGGCTTATGGTCTGTCAAAAAAATAATTTAGAGAATCCTGTTAAAATTACATGTAACATCATTTTTATTAATTAAATGGATTAAATGAATGCATTAAAAGGCTAGCTATAAATTAAAACCAATTTATTCTTCAACGATATATTATATTAGGGTAAAAATATAATTAGTGAAAAACTCGACTTGACCGGTTTTACGAATTGTATTGCACGTAGATAGAGATAAACGCACGTTATTGAACTACTTACTATATATCGTAAATCAAAAATTACACAATCATCACGTACGACATGAATCGTGGAGACAGTAAATCATGCTCGAAAGGAATTAGACTGAGTAGGTTGCAACAATTGAAACCATGTAACTAGTAAACACCGCTCTGAATCATAACGATCAAATATCGTCATCATTATTTTAACCATAACCTCGGAAACTACAAAAGTTACTCCGAACTTTTGAAAACAACTTCAAAATTTCAACTGACAACAAAGAAAAAAACCAACGCGCGCGCCCAATTTCAGCGTGCCATGAATGACGTCAACCTAAAAAAAAGACCAATCACAACATTGCATACGGACGAACAAATAAACACACATGTAAGAACATAAACGAACGTACATGCGAAAAAACACACAAACATGCAAACAGAAGACATCTTCAACGTACCCATCAGGAAACGCTCCAACGCTCAGCCGAATAGAAGGACTCATGTCCATTTTGATGAGGTCGGACTTCTGAAGGACTGATTCCCTTTTGTGTAGGGGCAACTTATCCCTGGAGATGCCCACCACCCCAGCTGTTTGGCAGCCATCCAACAAGCGACTCATTGTGGGACTGCGATTAAAAGGCAACACGTGTGTGTATGGTGTGTGTTTTAGGGTGTGGTGTGTGTGTTTTAGGTGTGATTTTATTAATTTACTTTTTAATCAGCTACTTATTTCTCAAATATTTATTGACTTTGTTGTTCAAATAAAATTGTTTCACCAAACGTTAACATATTTTATAAATTTGACCGTATAAAAACCGATATGAAGAACTAAAATAAACCAATCTATCACAAATATTGTGAAAAAAGTTAAAGACAATAAATTAAATTTTCGTGTATGAAAATCTGATTGTGTAAAAACCAGCATGAGCAATCATTTAATAATTATAAAATCGATCCACAACAGTTATCGTAAAGGGAATGAAAATTTACACACGTAAGTGAGAAAAAGAGAGAGAGAGATAAAGAAAAAAATGAAAAAGAGAGAGAGAGAGAAAAAAGAAAAGAGAAAGAGAGGAAGAAGGAGAAAATAAAAGAAAGATATATAAAAAAATTAGTAGAGAGAACTAGTAAAAGAGAGGGAAAAAGCTAAACGAAGAAAGAAATTATAAATTTAACTGCATCGCCACTATATCATCTATCATCTGAGTTGGTCTGGTCGTATACATCACATGCATGCACACCACATAAATAAGCCATTAAAATGGGTCATGAATTTTGTGATAGTGTCAAATAAAATCAATGGAAATCTCTCCTCATCATATTTCGTATTGATTCGTATTTCGCTTTAGCCATCTTCATGTTGGAATATTATTCCAAGTAAAAATTTGTTGAATGCTTTTGCGACACCAGGTTAGAAAAGACTAAAAAAATGAAAAATAGATAAATTTTTTGACTATAATCTCTTAAATATGTAAAGAATAACTGGTCTTATTGCCCAAAAAATTGACGTGAAACACTCGAAATGAACTATTGTTAATTAATTTATTACCATGCATAACATTACATTTATATTCATTTAGTCTAGTCAAAGCATAACCATTTCCATGGAAGTGATTTTGATATATGTATGTATATATATAAATATATATATATAAATATATATATATATCAAATATATATATATATAATCAATGAAAGCAGATTTAAAATGTATATTTTCGAGCAAATGTAGACGAGCAGCTTTTCACATTCAGTTTAAGATTGGGAAAAAAGACTAATTTCAGCGTTCATTTCAACAACTTTTAATTTTCTTTACATTTAATTGGACAGAATATTGCCATTTATTGTTACTTCGTTAATATGTTTTTCTTACGTGAGTTCATTTTAAAAAATGTTGCCAAACTTTTCACAATATTTTGTGATCAAATATAATTTAACATGTCCTGGCTTGCTGAAGTTGCCTTCACCAAACTACACACTCAAGTTGATTCAACATTTCATTTCGACAATAATTATTTTATTCAGTCTAAATAAGATTTACAATGTATTTAATACAACCTCAATGAATATGAAACAACAAAATGAATTTAAAAAAAAATAAATTGTACTTCATTTGAGATGTTCAGGTCAGGAGAGAGAACGATTGATTGATCAATGTAATGTGTAACGTATCAGTCTCCAAACTAAGTCTTTATTATACGTTAACAACTGAACAGTCAAAATGATGATCCAGCGTACAAAGAATGTCGAAAAAGAAGTTAAATATGTAGTATCACAACACAATAACTATAATATAATGTATTTATCTTATCGTCAGTCAAAAATATTTTTAATTGAATCACAAAATCTCCACACTATTCAAATTTATCGATGGAATTTAATTGTTTAAAGTCAAATGTAAAACCGATTGTATCACACATTAAACACTCACTAACAAAGAATAGAGATTCAATTAATTTAATCCTAGTATTTAATGGTGTACTTTTTTATATTAATGCAAAAAAGTTTGAATAATTGAAAGAACTTAGAGAGCATAACTGATGACTAACTTAACTTGTTCGTGTTTATTTTAATTAAGAGCATCAGTTCAATGCATAAATAAAAGCTCTACCAGCTGAGAACAGATAGCACAACAACCAAACTTACTGGGAATTCATGAAAATTATATAAACAATTTGTTCTCGTTACGACTATAGCAACAACAACTTGAACGAAACTTTCATTGAAAACCCTGCTGAACTCATGCGTACGTACGAAGAGGCACGCAGAAACAATTAGCATACACTTGAATGTCTTATCATGCAAATATATGAACGTAATGTAAATACATAATGTCAATGAAAGTAAAGGTATACATGACTCTAATGACGCTGCTCATACATGAATATACAAAGAATATATAAAGAAGCTATTGAATGTAATACATTTATTGTGCATGTAAAATGTTTAATGCACGGTATACAAAGTTATACCTTACGTGTGTTCATGTTTAAATTATGAAAATACATGTGGACAAGTAGGTTCGTACGTTGAAAATAATGAAAGATGTTAATTTATTAATTGTTCAGTTAATTATTGAAGAGCAAAAACTTGACACTTCCAAACAAAATCAAATTTATCAGCAGGTGACTGCTTGGTTGGACACTTGTGTTCATCTGTTGTTTCTGTATTGGATTGTTTGTTGTTTTATGTCGAAGGTTTTTTTTTCATAACGTTTTTTTATGTTGTTCATTGTTAAACTGTTTAGTACTGCATTTTATTGTATTTTTTGTGTCGTTGTGTTCTGTATTGTTTGGCATTTGTACGCTAGCAGCGGGAAGCCTGATATTAAGAGTGTCACAAGCAGAAGTTTATTTTGAACTTGTGTGGTAAAAAATTTTATCTTGTGACACTCATATCGCACGATAAAATTTATATATAAGATATATATTCGCGTTAAAGTGGTTTGTTTTTGCTTAAATAAATCTTTCACGAAAAATACAGCGCGCCTTTCTGTCTGAGAAGAGAGTAAAAGCTTGATTGTTATTTAAGAAAAGAAGTATTAAAGAGGTTTTGAAATCGAAATGTTGGCACTTTTAAAACATCCAGAGAGATAAGATTGGTTTTCCAGGAGAAATATATTTGTAAAAAATAATGCATATAAGCTGAGAACAAAAAAGTAATTTCCCGAGGAAAAAAGTCACTATAACATTGGAGGGGTACATGAAGATATCTGCGAGCCGGAAGAATGTAGAAACTATGTGTGTTTATGTGTGTGTTCGTGTGTATGTGTTTATGTGTGTGTGTGTGTGTGTGTGTGTGTGTGAGTGTGTGTGTGTGTGTGTGTGGAAAGATTTACGATGTAGCGATATAATATGAAGCTTCATTTTCCTTTTTCCTAAAAAAAACTTGCATGGAATAAAAATGTCAGCGATGGAAACGTAGATGATGATGATGATGACGATGAAAATGATGATGACGATGATGATGATGATGATGATAACGTGATAAAGGTGATAAACACACTTGAATCATTCTACCCAGCGTTACAACTTCTGCAATAAACTGAAACTTACGAACAAATTTCGAATGACGCCAGATGAAAAGCAAACTACAAAGAGGCACTCGAGACGAACAGAGATACGTAAACACACTCTGCAGCATCTACAAAGTAGCATTATCAAGAATTACCAGCGCTGCATCATAAGTGTGCCTAACTAAAATCACCACCAATCCACATTTTCAACCGGTCAATAATCATAACATAACACCAACAGACAGCATAGGCCGTTCAGCAGCTGCCTATAGACAGAACGAACGTCAGAGTGGGTCTTTTTGCAACATGTCTCTTTTTTGTTTCTATATACCGTGTCTACATAAGCGTGTGAGCATCTGGAACGAGCCGCGCAGTTTGTACATTATGAGGTTGTAAATAAGAGTTTATGTGGGCATCCCATGGAATTGTGTTTCATTTCCTTGCAACGTAGTGGTCTTTAAGATGCGGTTGAGAGGATGAAAGAGGAATGCGAACATCTATATGCGTGTGCTCACACGTTTGTGTGTTTGCGTGTAGAATAGATTAGAGTGGAGACTACGTAGTATACACGTGCTAAAATATTAATCAGTTCATATTCCTATATCTGAATCTAGTTCATAATTTTCTTAACTTCATTCATATTTAACCAAGAGCTACAATGTCGCTGCCAACTAACTGAAAATTTAAATTGATCAGGTTATATGAGCTAGAAACAAACAAATCAACAAAGTGTTAAATAAAATATTCAAATACTAACTAAAGTTTCAATCACTCATTATAATGACATCAAATGGTAACAGGTATCAAATATGAAAAAGTACCGAAATACTGAGGTTAGTGAGTAACATTGAAACAGAAAATTACAGAAGCAAATTAAGAATTTAAGGTCAATAGAGAACAAGTAAGGAATTGCAATTGAATAAAATTGCACGCTGGGCCATTCATACAATTAAGAATGTGAACCAGTTATAAAATAATGACTGACTGACATACTTGAATTTTTAACAGGCTGTGTTTTTAGACCGTTCACTTAAATGTGCCTGTCTAGATGGCTACATAATTATCCTCTATTTTAGCATTGGCATTATTTCTTAGTGGGTTTACATTTCGCTATAATCACCTTGAAAACAATTTTTAAATAACTGAAATATTGGCTAGCTTTATTAATGCACAAAATATTTTGTATTAATAATTGAAAAACACGTATTTTAAAAAAAATTTCAAACCTTATGGACACGCTGAGTTTTTTCTTGTCGGCCATTTTTCTCTGCACAAATCCTAAACTTCTTCTTGTGGCTGAATTTTTGGCGGCCAGAATATGAGGTGGTAGAACGTGAGTGGGCAGTGTAACGGATTTGGGTGGTGTGGATGAGGACGCTGGTGATGATTTGGATGTCACCACCGATGATTTCACCGGAAAGGTGGGTGGTTTTGTGGTGAGGGGGAGTGGAGGAGATGGCGATGAAACCATGCAGATTGGGATCGGCTGTGATAAGTGGAGGTCTGGATTTGAATGCTTTTCATTGTTCGTGTTGTTGTTTAGTTGGGCATCAATTGTTAACAAACTTCCATCATGTGCGTTCGTATTCAAAGTGAATTGAGAGGAACTCTTACGCGATAGCTGCTCTACGTTGTCGTCGTTGCTCGAGTGACTGTTCACATTTTGTAAGTCTGTTAAACTGTTTGAAAGGTAAACTTGCACTTGTCCATTTGAATCATTTTTTTTCGAAGCACTCTCTTGAGTTGATATCGTTTCAGTCGATATGTTCGTTGTAGGAATGCTTTGTTGTTGTTGTTTTTGAACGCATTCTGCTGGTTTGCAGTCTTGTTGTGGATTCTCTTTGTTGTTAGGCTCCTCGTTGCCTTCATTGAGTGCAATGCACATTGGGAAGGCCAGTATTGTGGTTGTGGACATGATTGCCGTATTGAGAAACTTTGCGGACTGCAAGAAAGATGTGAAACTGGATAGGGTTGATGGCGGCTTAGGTGGAGTTGGAAAAGTTTTGACAAACGATTTTGATGAAAATGATTGTTGTTGGGAGTGCGAAGTTATTTTTGTTGTTGCTGACGATGCTGTTCTTGGCGTTGATGTGTTTGTGGTTTTTGAGAAAAGCGCTGATAATGATGGTGATTTTAAAGATGATGACGATGATGAACTTGATGATGTTGCAAGAATTGTTGAAGATGTTCCCGTTGGCCTGCCGTTGGGCAACGAGGTTGAAGATACCGACGGCTCAACTGTCGAGGTTTGCACGGGAGATGTCGAGGCTAGCGTTAAGTGCGTTGATTGCTTTGGCGGGGAGGACGATGTTGCAGCCACTTCATCGTCGTCAACATCGACGTTTGAATCACAAAATGATGAATCATTATCTGCCACTTTCAGTGATGAGGATTGCATGGAATGAACGTATGACGATGATGACGGTGATGATGGGAGCTGCGAGTCGTGGGATGGGTCGATGAATGCTTGTTCACCCATGGATGCTGCAGAGTCATCGTTTGTGTTGTGCATCGTGTATCACGTATCGTGTATCATTTATCATTCCACTGAACCAGTCTGAAAATGATATCACAGAACGTTAATGATCTACTTCACTGTTAATCGCATTAAATTGCTGTTTTGATATTGCCACAATTCTATAATTCATTTTCTTGTAAATATTATTTTATAATTTTACTATTCTCAACCAACTGTTACCAAAAATTTGAAAACGTTATTTCCAAAAATAATCTGAATGAAATCGTAAGAACTACAAGAAATAAAAGTTACGTATCACTTTGGAAAGCATCTGCATTCGCAAACAAGTGATGTGGCAAGGCAAACACTGCCAACATTCTCAACAATTTTTCTTCCGAACCATTACATGCAATTCAAGAAGCATACAATTTTTTATTTATTAAAAAATGGTGGATGTTTAAAAATAACTTAGCAACAATAAATTTGTCGGGAGTATGTTTAAAATGTTTTGAACAGTTTACCGCTGTTGCACCTGGCTACTGTTGAAAGTTTAATATTCATCGGCCCATAAAATCTACATAGGAAACTAATTCTCAGAAACAAAAAACACTGGCCTGGCTTAGCGTTGAACTAACAATTTGCTGAATAACAAACCTGAGCATAGGTACGTACGTACGTAAATTGCACTGACACGCGTTCGACACGACAGTTAATTATTGTACAGTACGCGTCGTTTGCATAGCGCCTTGATGCACGAGTTGACATTTCTATCACTTAGCAGAATTTTTGCAACCAAAGGCGGGCGGTGATGGATGAATATGTGCAAATGTCATGGCATTTGTAAACAATTTGGACTCTTGTGTGAAGATCATTTATTTCCATTTACACAACTAAAACGCAGGAAAAATTTGATTTCAAACGATGAACTGTGTAAAAACAACGTCGTCATAAAACAATTTTTTACACGTATCGAACTTGGAAATGACAAAAATTATAATCATTATAATATTATATTACTTTTATTATATTATTGCATCTAATTTTTTATTTGCATAATATCTTATTGTTTGCTTTTTATTAATATTATGCATCTCTTACATGCTCAGAACTTCTTGCATATTTTTATATAGTTATATTGTTGAACTTTTGTGCCAACCACACACACACAAACACACACATACAAACACACACACACAAACACACACATACAAAAACACACACATACATGGCATGGCGTACAAGTCTTTGAATTCGGACAGACAGTATTCGAACCAGGTCACCGTCGCACAATAACATCGCGAGGCATGACACTTTTACCGACTAAGCTAACTAACTTGTCAACCATATCATTTCAATATTAACATTACAGAAAACGTAAATAATACAGATTCAATAAAATATGACAAAAACCAATTATCATAATTGAGAGCTGTATGAAAACATTTCAAAGCAGCACATACAAACACACACACACGAGTATATATGTACGTACGTAAGCACATGCCACTCGTACACAATACACATACACAACACGCCATATGCTGGATAATCAATGGGATCATGTTTATTCAGCGTTCAGATAAATCTCAAACCATTCTAATGATTATTATTTTCTATTATTTCTCGTATTCTCAACATTTATATTCACTTGTCCTATTATTGTTATTATTATTATTTTTATTATTATTATCATTGTTGTTGGTGGTGGTGTTTTGGACTGTTTTTTTTTTCTATCAGCTGGGGAGGGAGATGGTGATCACGCTCGATTCATCGTTCAGTGAATGACGTAAATACCTAACGACGGTTGATTGTTATGGTATCATGATAATACGCACCACTCTAATTGCTAACTCTTTTGAAAGATGCATTATCACGTTAAAAGCGTTAAAATAAATTTTATTAAAACATATTTTTAGTTTGAAGCTATTATTAATATACACAATTATTTATTTATGCTTGCTCGCAAACAAAATAAAAATACAACATTCCAGCGAGGAAGACTTACAATTGGGATGGTTGATTGATTTAACTCGCAGGTCGAGATTTGACGCGTATCTACTTGAACCCTTCGTAACTCACCATACTCTCTTTAAAGTCATATCAAAATCTTTTTTTGAAAATTTTTAACTCAATAAATTCGAAATAATTGTCTGAAATTTATAATGATGTTGGTTATATATGGGCATTCTTCTACACTGTATTCAGAGGTCCTGCTAGTTAAATAAAGACACCGATCTTTCCAAATCTCCTTCTTTCTACCACCACATTCACCACATCGTCAGGCAGTCGATTTCAAACAACAGCTAAGGACGACGATTCCATAATTTTTCGTTCTCAATTTTCGTAAAGCAGCAAGGTTATTTTCGGTCTCAGACTTCGTTCATCAGCAATCGAAAAAGCAGACACATCCAGTTGTGGCAAGTATTGATGACCAGACCTCATCATACAATCTCTTGTCGACATTGCGATTCTACATTCTACTCGAATCAGACAGGTAATCAGAGATACTCGCAACGAACATAAGTTGAATTTGATTTGTATTTGAGCAGTGTTTAAAATGGGCGGAAATATTTTTGTATTTTATGGCGGATATTTAAACGACATGACGATCTTATTTTGTTTTAATTTAAATCCATCATAATTCAAAATTTGTACCTACTTGTGTCACACCAAATATTAAATGCAATCTATTATACCAAGGTGCAGGTATGAAAATATAAATTAGTATCTAATACATACACATGCAACACGCACACACACGCGCGCACACACACACACACAACATCTATTGCTAGATATTCAAGATAGAGGTAGGTTTGGCCTGTTGAAAAACAAAGTAAATGTCAAATGTTAAGCAATATAAAATCTATATAGATTATATTTACATTGAAATTTTCAATTAACACACATATCTCGTTTTTTGATCACCTGTATGCAGATTCATCTCGGAATCTTCATCCTCAACTTCGTTCATGTTCCCATTACTTTACTCTTTATAAATTATATTTTCAAAGAAAATATCAAATAATTAAGACAAAATACCATTGCCATACAAATACTATCCTAACAGTGTATAGAATTTTGTTCACTGTCTTCAAAAAGCTACTACTAAACCAAAGCAATGAATTCGTCAAACAATCTCAAATAAAAATTTTTCTATGGTCATCGGAAAAAGAAGGAGTTGAACAAACATTCAGTCAATGTAACATATCAGACTATGGTGAACAAACTTGCAATATTTTTTGTGTTATGTGTGTGAGTGTGTGTGTGTGTTTGTGTGAGTGTGTGTGGTGTGTACACTTGAACATAAATCATATAAAACTTTTGACAAAATTGTTAAATTGAAACTGTGTGCGAGTAGTGTTAAGAACAACGGCGCGCTGGCCGGCCAACACGACAACCTCTTCCTTCTTCAAAGGATTACACACTTGGGCACTTTCAAAATAGCACACAAATAAGATTAACTAATGTCCGTGTCGCCACATTATAAAAAAAAACTGGCATACCGTGAACCTGAACATACTTGAATTGAGAGCAACTATTTGAAACATTTTTGATGTTTCGATAATCGGATAGTGGCACTAATTTCAATATTAAGACCATCATAAAATAATGCTGTAACCCTTTCGCTCTCGTAACTACCAACACCGGTGTTATAACTTCAGTGATCATTTTATTTCCAACACCTGTGTTGTAGCTTCCAACGACCGTCAAGTGTTCGTTGGTTCAAGATTTCAGATAGATGAACACAACTTCTTCAAACGCAAACTTTGTTTAACGTTTATTTGAATGCCAACAGTAAGAGAAACATCAAACTAATCCAACTAATCCAAATCACATTTACGACTTCAGTAGATTTTTTCGAAGAAAAAAATACAAACATTATTTTACGATTATTTATCATCAACATTTCTTTTAAAATCCTTCCCGGCCGGTCGTCAAATATTTTTTTAAATCTTAGCCCCCCCCCCGTCAAATTTGTCTGGATCCGCCACTGCATACCCATTTATTTCATACCATTACACACACACACACACTCCTAGAAAGACAAATTGTTAATTGTTGCATTATTATACAGTGGAATGCGTGAAGAAGAATGCCTGGATGGCTAAGTATGATACATGCAAAAACAAAACAGTCCTTGTCTCTGTGTAGATGTTTCACTGGCTCACTTGAACGGAGCAACAACGTACCAACAGAATAAAAAAATTTTATGAAGAGACAATGTTTTAATTATTTCTACTCTACACTCTTATCATACAAAATAACATAAACTCTAGCATACTAAAAAATTACTATGCAATAAAATAATATAAATCATTTGACATGAAATGTATTTAGATTTAAAATTTTTAAACTATGTACATAAATTTGTCGAACTACACCACTAAAGCTATCATTCAGCGTGTATCATCGTTATAGCGATCGAGCTGATATTACATTGTACCATATGTTATCCTAGCTACAACGTCATTTTCTTCATCATCATCATTATCATCATCACGATCATTCTCTTCTTCTTCTTCTTCATCATCCTCATCATCGTGATTTCAGTTCATTGACTCACTCCACATTATTACATCCAGCTTGGCAGGCTTGAATCTTATAATTATCTCTGTAATCTGTCTAATTCTCGGATGTTATTCTCTCTTTTTTTAATTATTATTATTTTCCAGTTGAATTTCCACTTGAAGGTTTTTTAACATTTCATTTTGCGACATCGAGTTGGAAAATGTTAGCTCTTAATATATTTTTCATTCGTATTGATGGCAGTTTAATCATTCTACCTAAATGAAACAAGATATTTATATTCTCAACTTCTTATTCATTAATTCTCACTAGCTGAAATCGACTTATTATTTTTCGAATCATCATATTTTTATCAACTTTTTGTTGAATATTTAAAAACTGTGGCTTTTTTTGTCAACTATCATTGTCAAATTTTAGAAAAACTCGAACCGTAATGTTTGATGAAATTTTTAATTTTTATGTGAAGCAACACATACCGAGGAAGGTCATTGAATGGGCGTTGAGGAAGAAAGGAGTGAATGAGA